TTTTTTGTTTGTTTGTGAATATAATTGCTCAGCACAGTTCCCCATCCAAACTCACCCTGCCTCTTCTGTCTCCCAGCCAAGAAGTACAAGATGCCTTCAAGGTTGTTTACCTCATGGAAGTGTTGGCTCCTTTCAAGGCTTCGTGATGAAGTATTAATTATATTTGAAACCTGCTGGGGCGAGTCCACAAATGCGTTCAGCTCTGTCACCTGATTTTACCCCCAATTAAAGCTAAATTGCGCAGGGCAATTTGGCATCACCGTGTCTCCCAGGGGTGCCATGGCATAGAGCGGAACTGAGACTCCATTTTTTTTGAGTAAACAACAGCACCACGGCCCCTGAAAGACACGCAGCAGGTGATGTGTTTATCCAGCTTTGACTAATAATTGAATTACAGCCATTTATGCGCGTATACATCAGGGTGTGCTTAAGCGTTTGTCTGTGCGTTGGACTACACTGGGAAATTAAACCAAGGCCTGTGCTCATTATAACAGAAGTATTAGTCATTCAGTCCGCCCAATATTCAACAGTGCACCAGCAGCAATTCACCTTTTTAACACTTGGACTCCCAGAATTAGGAAACTACTGGAGTAGCTCAGTGGCTCAGAGCAGGAGTGCTGCCCCTAGAGGTGGAAGTAGGCAGTTACAAGGGCATCCCAGAAGAGGACAGAATCTGTGTGAGACTTGTGGTTGAAGATTAATTTAATTTTGTTTTATCGCCCATTGCATAATTTAAGAGCTACTATGTGTGAGATCATTCTGAATAAAAATCCTGATTTGTTTTGGCTGTTTGAAGGTGGAATGCTTTGTGGAGAAGGGAGATACTGTATCCAAAGCGGAAATATTGTTTGTAATTGGACCTGATGTTGTCCATCTATGCTAGCCCATGTGGACTGGGAACGTGTGCATGACATTTAAATAAAATGTATTTTGACTGTTCCCATTAAAACCAATGAACTTTAGAGAAAATTTTACACCAGGTTTTTGTGTTTTATTTTAGTTTTTTATCTCAACTCATATAACTTGAAATACAGCAAAAATCGTGGACAAATTGCCAACTTCTAATAAAACACTGTGTTGCAATAGAAACTATAGGAACACTGTGTTTACAATTATGTGTTTTAATACTATCTATTGTGTGTCTTCCACTAGTGCATTCCTGTGGGCTTCCATAGTTTAGCCGAGTTCCAGCCAAGCAGTCAAAATGCAACAGAACAGCAAGTTTCCAAAAAAAGAAAAGGATTTTATTAGTAACGTTATTGTCCATACAATACTTTCATCACTGCGCTATTGAAGCAGAGGAAGGAGAGGAGTTGTGTACATGTCCAGGAACAAGCGCCTGTGGAGAGAGACTTTGTGCTTCTGCTTCAATCCACACTAAATAAACCATTATCTAGGCTGTTTTGCGCCCACAGTGTCCAAGTTTATAATCACCATTTTCTGCGAACTGAATAGACTTTTTGAAGCAAGTATTTTTTTAAAGGGACTATTTTTAAGTAGGCGTTTCTTTAAACCTGCAAGAGTCTTTACTAACAAGAAATAAAATCTCAAGAAGGGGCACATCAAACGCGACCCTCCTTCATCTAAAATTCAGTGTATTCAATTTAGCAAATTTGGAGATATTTTGAAAGGAATGGTTAATGTTCATGTGGACCTTATTATGATGAAAAGAAACGACCACAGACAAATCCAATATGAATGAGCACTAATATACAGGCAGTTTAGTCTAACGCTGTGGAAGAAATTAGACCATTTCTCGATTGGCTCTATAAACACATCACACAACCATCTATATATTTCCTGTCCTTTTATTTCAATTAATTAGATTTAAACTGGAATTGGTAAAGTAAAAATACTCAAAACACCAAGAATACACAGTGCTGTATTTGAACATTCTCTTTGTGCTGTACGTGGAGAAAATGCAGAAAAGTCAGTGTAAACTAATTATTTGAACACAGGACTATCATCTCTGGAGGAGGGGGGTAGTGGGGGGGAGGGGGGGAGTCCGGGGGTGATGAGGCATTAGTCCAGCGGCGGTGAGCAGAGAAACAGGCATTTCTCAGCGAACACAGCAGAATAAACACTGATATTATCATTACATGTTTATAAGCCTGGACTCTCCACAATGAGCCCATCATTTTGCCCACCATCTCCAGGCGTATCGCTGTACATACGCTTTATCGTCAATCCTTGCGCCAAAATTAGAGTAGGCAGAGTTTTTTGAATGATGTACAACATATCTCTCGTAGCCCCTTGCTACATGAGACTGCAAGAGTGTACAGCAGGATTATACGTCCAAAGCCACATCAGCCCAAAGTTCTGCTCTGGCTGCTACTCTCTTAACACTTAACTTATAAAAATAATAATAGTAATAGTAATACAGCCTGCAACCTTTTTTCTAATTTATGAAACAAATGTGTTTATTGCTGTTTAGAATCCACATACATATTTGCTATTAAGGAGGACACGCTGTAAAAATCCTGCAGTAAAATACAAAGATAAACGTATTCCCCTCGCTCCAAAACTGTCAGGAAATGTACTTTTCTAATTAAGTATCTCGCCTCAAGGTTTCAGAGTAAAACTGAGGAAAGCCAAAGTCCCTCCCCCTTGTTTCCACATATGGAGCTGCACCATGGATCTGTTATAAAGTCAGCACTGAAGAAGAATGCATGTTTGAGAGCAGAAGCAAAATTAGATCTAAAGAATAGATCTATAGTTATTTCTAAAGAAATAGCCAAAAATATTATTAATATATAATATTTCATCAAATAAAAATAAACTACTGTATATACAATTAAACCAAATAAAATCTTATTTATTTGCTTGAAAATAATTGATTAAAATTGTAAAATGAATATGATCTTGGCTTATTGAGAGAAAATAAAAATAATGGGATTGGTTTTATATAGAGATTTTTTGGACACTAAACTACTGTAGCCACAGCTGCCCTGGGCCAAACTGACAGAAGCAACCACTATGTGTCACCAGCCCCTCCGACCACACACCAACCATTAACACACATATCAGACCCATTCTAGGCAATGTAGGTGAAGTGTCTTGCCTAAGGACACAACTGCAGTTTGGCACTTTACAGCTGCAGCCGCCACACTGGCACCTGGTGTTCCCAGAGGACTAACACATTTATGTCAAAGCCAACATTTTTTTCCTGCAGAGTGAAAGTAGCTTAAAAACCAGAAAGCCATACATCATAGACAAGTCCAAAACCGTCACATAAAAATGCACAGTGTTTTTCTTCTTCTGTGCTAAAGTGCAAAGTGTGTGAGAAGTTCAGAAAGGCTCATAACATGCACAAATGCACACCAAGCTCTGCAATGACTCCTCTGGGGGAGAAAAAGTAACTTAGGAACAAAGAAAAACCCTAATATGTATTAACTTACAACTGTATTGCAATTCCACACACACGCAAACCCATAACACCAGGCGCATTGTGAATTTGCAGCTAGCCAGGAGTGACGCATACTAATTTCTTCCTCCTGATTATAGACAAACACTGTGTACTATAGAGAGGGAAAGCATAAAGAATTAGTTATTTTTCTTATATTTCTATCCAAGTGCATGGCAGGGGCTCTTATTAACAGGGAGTGCGACAAGAAAAGACATCCGTTGCCGCCCTAAGAAGACATTAACGTCGGATAAATGACTTACTGCCCCATACTGAGGGGTCTCATGGTGACATTTAAGAGAAAAGTTAAGATGAATGAATAGAGGCTGGATGAACGAGTGAATGAGAGTGGGAAGAGGAGAAGAGGGAGCGCCCGCAGAGAACTAGGTAATCATCATCAGTCTGAGTTTTGGATCGATATGTGCGGTCACAGGGCAGAGAGGAAAGGGTAACGGAGAGGACCAAAAGAGGAGATAGTGGTGAAGAGGGATCGTATCAAATCAACAATGAAAAAGTCATAACATTGGCAGACTGTATATATATAAACTCGTAGCAAAGATATCTTGGCCATAAAACAGCAACAAATTGGATGTTTATTTGGCAACTGTGAGATGGCTGAGTGGCTCGCACACATACATAATACTTTAACACATTTCTAGTCAATATCAATGGTCTATTAAATTCCATATTTGTTCAAAAACACATGATAATTTTTGGGTTAGGGCGAAGTGGTGGTCAGGTTGGTGTGCTTCACTTTAACCGGAATACGTTTGGTTCGCTTTGCTATGCTTTATATGTGAAAAAAAAAAAATCACTAAACATGTGTCGATTGGTTTAAATCAATCAGCTGAAATCTGAACAGACTTAGTCCAGATTTAGTGTGAACACACCCTAAAGCTTCTCCAAATATAAATTGCAAGAATGCACAAAAATGGCAAAATTGTTCCCGCTTTTTTTAGACATTTTAAGTGAAACGGTCTTGAAGAGCTAGATTACATTAAATAAATAGCAGCAATGCATACAAGAAAAATATGTAAGAAAAATGTGAGCAAAATGTGGTACGATACAATGTGATAAATCCTGACAGTGAACTAAAATGTGAATTTTCTTTACAAAAACAACTCTTAACAAACCAGCTCTCGTGAGATGCTATACTGCTTTTTCTACTGTCTCACTGTTAAGTGGGAGAGTAAGTGCATTTAGTTAGCATCTGCATTTTGTCTTAAAATAAATGTGTAAAATATGTAACATTTCTACCACCAGGTTAGTGAGAGATACAGTGGCTATCTCCCCTAATCCTCTCGGGGCTCCTCATCTTAAACTAAAAGCAGAACACAAATCTTGATTATCTGATGTTTATTTTATTTTCTTGAAAAAAAGTGATTGAAAATACCATACAAAAATTGCAGCTGAATTTTAACTATCCCTGGGTCATTTAGACTCTTTGAGACCCTAATTTCTCTCCCTCTTTATCATATGTAGTAGGTAGTTTTGACCCAAAGATAGCATAAGAGTTAAAAAAAAAAAACATTTGATGAATAAAAACATACACATAGTTGTTCTTGATGCTACTTAGAGGATTTAGAACAAGCCCTACCTCCAGCCGTATGTACTCATTCTGCTCCTTGGAGATCAGACTGATGATGGTGCTGCTGTGCTTCCGTGTCCGCACCAGGACTTGAACAAACGTCCTTCTGGGGGGCAGCAGCGACGCCAGCTGGTAGTGGACATGGCTGTGGCCGTCAAAAGAATACTCCGGGGCAACTGCAAAAGAAAAGTAGTGTCACAGCCTTTTATTTGACCTCAAACCTCAAATTAACCGCACGGTGGCAAAGCTGAGCTGCAAAGGGTTGAATATGCATGGATGGTTTGGCTTATCTTGGAGCATAGACCCACGTTCCCAGAAGGGCATTTTTGTGAAGGCTGAGGCAGAATAAAAGTGCACATCAACTATTTTTAAAGCCATTCTCCCATATGATGGCACATGCAAGTCAAATCGCACCCGCTGTAATTCCGACTGGCTTGTCCGCCTCCGTCGTGGTTCAACGTGACAGGCTACACTCCATTTGCCATTAAAACTTCATGGTTCTGATCAACTGGAGATCACAACATATTGACTTTAAAGCAGCAATGGTGTAGTGTTGGGAGTGTTAACCGGATTGGGGAGAAAACCCGAGGGTTTCTCACTTTTCTCCCACTGGCTTTTTAGAGTTTTTCCTTGCCAATGCAGGAGGGTCCAAGGACAGTGGTGATGATTCAGGAAACTTGACATTCAATGACATTTATGGACTTTATCAACATTCATTGACATTGTTCATCTGCCTCTTATGGACCAATGGCTCTATGTGTTGGGGGTGACCGTTAGAGCTGCACCCAATTTAAAGAGCACCAGAAGTTGTTGAATCCAAACAGCAAGTTTAAACATTTTTCATGATAAAGCTGAAGTGTATCTCTGCTCTCTGTGAATGTGTGCTTTTTGTAATAAAAGCTACATGATACAATACATACACCTTTACAAAGCACTGGCAAAATTAGGAATGCTCGACTCCTCGCCCAATTTAATTTGACTGAAATAGAAACATGTAAACCCATACACTTCTTTAAGGTGTGAAAAACCAGCCCGTTAGGAATAACTGTGATTGATCTTCTATGTAACCATGTAAACCGTATCCTTTTGAGACACAGCCGCCAGGGAAAAGCCACTCTTGTTTGTTTCATTTTGATGTTTGCGATAAAAACACAGGGCTGCAGTTGAGACTGTTGGAAAATCGAACCCTCAAACTAAACAAAATGTTTCGTAAGTACGTTTGCCATTGTTCCATTACACTATCTATGGTATACATCATATTTACAAATACTGGTCCAAAGTTAAGAGAGTTTCTCATTGGGGCAAATGGACACAGTAACATATGTCTTCAGAGACTTAACATTGGAAGCATTTTATTTGAAAAATATATAAACGCGGTAAGGTGTTAACTACAAGAATGTTAATAATCAGTGTTCATGATGTGTTGGAGGACTGTTTTTATCAACCCCTTGGGCACCAGAGTATTTTAAGAAATGTCATGTGAAACCCGACAAAAGATGGAGCCCTGAAACAACACGAGGGTTGTTAAAATCAGGAGCCGAATCACATTTAGGGAGATTTAGACATTGATAGTGTCCTGGATTTTGGACACTAATTCTGCTAAATTGGCAACTAAAGTGTTATCACAGTTTTTCATTTTACACCCTTTGTCCATTATGAAAATAGCGCAGAAAAAATACATCACTAAAATAATTTCATCATTCATCACTAAAACATTGTTCTCTCTATTTTCCCAATACAATTTTCTATAATTTTCAATCATTTAATGCCAGAAACTTCTTTATAAAATCCAACCCCTGCGAGCTTCTCTCAACTATCATAAATTAGATCTATTGGAGAAAAAAAATGCAAAGGATTGTGGCGATTCCAGTAGTGTTTACAAGTGCTTAGCCAGCAAAACAGGACGAAAAGAAATCTTTAAATCACTACAAGCTGTCCCTTTAGCTCATGCGCACTCACAAACCTCACACTTCCAGACAAACTGCATCGGATACTCCATTTAAACTTCCCGCAGCCGTGCCCTGCTTGAATCCTGTCGGGGGCGGTGTACTGCTACGAGCTCTGACCAAAGACCGGCAATAAACAAGAGTGTACAAATGCTTCGGTCAGCGCAAAGTTGCACTGGATGTGAACTCCTCAATCTGAAGAAAGTGGAGAGTGGGTGAGGGGGTCATTAAAAAGCCCATCTCATTCTAACAACGCCGGGTGCTGGAGTCTGCAGAGCACCTTTAGAGCTATAACAGGGGCAAACCGCCGCCTGCCAAGGATCTGAATGTGGCCACTAACAACAATTACAAGGCCATAATGAAGGTGCCTCGGAGGTAGCTCTCTCAGTATGAAGTGCTTGAGCTGTTTATGTGCCGGCAGAGCAAAGACAGTGTTCACCTGCGAAAGGGCTCGTTTATGGGAAAAGCTCTTAAACGCGAGCGGGAGATTAAAATGCAGAATTTTATGTATTGTACGAAAACTGCGACAAGCGCTAACTGGTGGCTTTATGACATCATTGAAAAGGAACCAAAAAGACAGCCGTGATAAAGAGACAGAAAAGGTTATATGATGCTGTTAAATGGATAGACCTGCATATTTCTCTTTTCTATCCCTTACATTTTTGACACATGCCATCTTAATGTGAGCCGGCAACTCTCACATCAAAGCATACATACTGTATTGTGTTTGTCCCAGCTGAATTTTTTTACTATAACAGCCATATATTCTATCTTAAAACTGGTTTACATGTCAGGATAATGAGGCTGAAGTAGTTTTTGTTTCTCCCTTTCTAACAACTTAAAGGACCCTCGAGCATCATAAGGTAATCTCATAGGAGAGACCTGTTGTGTGTGGTGTGTTCAGATTGCTCTCTTCTGCTCAAATGACATTGGAACTGCTTCAATCCATGAATCGATGACATTCAACTTGCTGGATTGTCTACGCCTGATGTCTCGTGTGTCTTCAGCGCATGACAAGAGGCCAATCAGAAAGACACTTGTTTCCTTCATACATACAGAAACAGCACAGTCCATGTTGTCTTCATTCTTGTTGACCTTTTGCGTTATATACATTTACTTTTGAATGTGCTGGAAACGGCACATAAGTAGCTCTGAAACAGTTGTTGTTTTGTGCTTTACAATTGTTACTTTTCTTGCTCTATCTGAGATGTTGCTGCAGTACAGTGTTCATGATTTTGCACTGGTCCAGACCGGAGCAGAGAGGATCCGAAAGAAGCGGATCAGGCGAAAATGGAGGAATGCTAACTTCTTAGAAATGCTAGCAAAACATTCAGCATCTCACTTTGGACCAGAGCAGAGAAAATGGTCTGAACCAAGCGGCTCCATCTCTGCTGCTGTGACCTAAAGTACTGTTTCATTTTAATACTATTGTTAGCTTTTTTTAGAATGATCAATTTATTTGTTTTGTTTGTGTGGAAACCTGAATTTCTCATACAGGGATCAAGTATCTATATATCAAACTGTATTTTTCAAAGTGAATATTTTTTTTGTTTTTTGTCCTGCTGTTTGAACATTTCAGTTTGAAATAAACACTTACTATCTTTCTATCTATCTACTGTATAAAGAAAATATACACTTTGGTCACTTACACCCACATGTTTGATCTTGAGTTCTCGTCTGACCTAGGAATGTTTGTGAATTGCACTGGCTCGTGTGCTATGTGTTGATTGTGTTGTATGGATGCAGAGCACACACTGTGACCAGTATTATCATTTTTTTATCGACATGGTGAGGATTTGGAATATCTGTATCAAGGCCACATCTAACTCGAAAAAAGAGATATTATCCAGTGTTTCCCACACATAGACTAATCTGTGGCGCACCGCCACAGATTAGAGACCGCCCGCCACAAATTGCGTTTCGTATTATTATATATATATATTTTTTGTTACGCTATTTAAAACATGCATCGTCTAGTGCCGCCGCAGCGGTCAATTTGACAGCGGGGAGGGGGGTTTAAAATGTGGCGGCCCTTCGTAACTCTCACTCAAGCTACGCGTCTCTCCCACATACAGAGACCTACACACACACAGCCCCTCCCCTTCGTGCACACCGCGTGTCTCCGTCTCCATCAGCGATCATCGCTGTAAGCAGCTGTGTCTATTAATTTTGGTGCAGAGAAGACGGCTGGTGAAGTTCACTAAAGGTTGGTATCCCGTGATCTCGTAAATCACACATTAAAAAGTGCTGAATGTTCAGTGTCAATGTTGAATTTCCGTCCCGACTCCCTTAACAAGCGATGACGCTTTCTTTATAAAGTTAATTAGTCGCAAGTTTGCGGTATGTAGTTGGGTTGTCGGGGTCAAAACACTATGTAGCAGCTGTAGCAAGAAATAAAGTTATAAGTAACGTTATGTCATTTTTTTACTCTTACACTGAATGTTTGCTGCTTCAATCCAGATGAGAATATTTTCCGCGATTGAAAAAGACACGCGTTGAGGATGAGGATCAGCCTGAACCAGAGGTATCGGTCTGAAACAGTCCGCAGTGTAATTAGCTATATAAGTTGTTTACAATATTTTCAGGCTTCGACCAGTGCTGCTCAAGCAGAAAGACAGGGTCAGGGAGAGAACGAGATAGAATTGATTATATTCAATATTATATTCAAGGTCAGTGAATTGACCTGGCACACACACACACACACACACACTAATGCCACGACAAACCCTTATCTTTCAAGAACAAGAACCAGGAGGAGCTCTTGTGTTTACTGGCAAGTGAGTTTGATGAGTGGGCCAACCTCTACCCCTGCCTGAGCCTTCTGGCAAGCATTGCTTTGGTTATCCCTGTTTCCTCTGTGAACTGTGAACGGGATTTCTCTGCAATGAACAGGGTAATAGCAATAAAAAATTCCCATTGTCTTTATATTGGTGCATTTTGCATTGATAATAATTCATCATTTTGCTTTATCTCCAGGTGAAAACAGACCTCAGGAACAAACTGCAAGGAGAACACCTGGCAGCTTGCTTGAGGATCTCCATCAATGGACCCTGTCCTGAGGACTTCCCTTATGATATGGCATTAAAATCTTTTTTTCGCCAGCCCCGAAAAATCAGGTGCTCTGATAAAACATGCAAACTTTGCAACAAGTAGGTTTATACAGCGTTAACAGTATTTATAGTGTAATATAGTGTTTATAAAGCGTGTGAATAATGTTATTTTTTGCAACAAGTAGGTTTATACAGCGTTAACAGTATTTATAGTGTAATATACAGCGTGTGAATAATGTTTGATATTTTGATCAGTCCAATAAAGCTGGACTGATCCAGTCCAGCTTTATTGCTTTATTGCTGATCCAACCACACATTGCCTTCAAACCTGTGGGAAACACTGTTATCTAAAGGGGCCGCCTGATTAATATATATTAGATTTTGCAGACAATATTAAAATCTTTCTGCGTGAACCAGCCTTTACTTCATTCAGTGGCAACAGCTCCAAATAAAGTTGTAAATATAATGCTAAACTAATAACTATCTAATATTGCGTAACATTCTTGACAAAATAATGAATTTCAATCTTTGTATTTGGTTGTAAAACATCTTGAATGGCTGAAATGGTCATAATAAATGACTTATTTAGGCACTTCATGTGTACCAACCTTTCATCTTTCCTTTTCAACTGTATACATACCATCTCGGTGCAAGAATAAGAGAGATTATCTGTGCCTATATAAACGGTTGCCAACTGTGGAGGAAAATATCCCCAACCCGAGACCTTTCATCTTCTGAATTATAACAAAGTGCATACCTTGTTAAGCTTTATCTCTGGCAAGTAACCGATCTCCAGCTGGGACCATTTATGTGTTATGCAATTCAGTTTAACAAGGCATTCATTATGATTGCCATTAGAAATATACAGCCTCCACTGATTGCTTTAGTAAAAGTCAAAGCAGTTATCACGTGTTTATGCACAGATTTTCTTTGTCCCACTGGCAGAGGAAGCGAGCATATAGCAGATGGCACTGCATTTTAAATGTTAGCATGTTGTAGAGTACTGTATATGGCAAGATGTTGTGCTTAATGTTCACAAGAGCTAAATAATCAATAATTAGAGCATAGAATAATTGTTGCATGAGTTTTGAGGATCATCTCTGACTTAAACTAATAACGAAAAGAAGCCTAACAATGATAGTCATATGAACAAAAACATGCAGCATTATGGCCACAGCTGCCATGGGGCACATTTACATGAACAGTGGATATCATTATTAAAGCACTGTTGGTTGCACAGCATGAAATATGAATTAATATTATTCTCAATTTATTTATTCAAGGAATGTACACATAATACGGTTGTTATAATACATTTCTTGGAGATATATATATATATATATATATATATATATATATATATATATATATATATATATAATATTCATTTACAACCTTAACATGTTCATTCCCAGTGTACTACATGTTTTTATTATTCATCTTGACACTACTTCAAAACTTTCATCTGACTTCCATTCAAAAAGTCAGTCTCAGTTGTTGCTGAAATGGACATTAGGCAGTGCATCAGTCCGTCTAATGGGCAGGAAAATAATAACTCGGGGAGAGACTAAAACTGACAGATAGAACTGAACTGACTTCAGTTTAAAACCTTTGAACTATTTTCAAACATAAATTGGTCTGGAGCCAATGGAACTTCAGCTTTCTAAATATAGATGTTCCTCTGGATACAAGATCACTTTTTATCAAAGAGTGAATGAAAATGGCCTCACCCTCCTCACACTGATGCCCAGTGTAGCCTGGAACACACTGGCAGCTGAAGGAGCCCCACTCTCCATGGCAGCGCCCCCGGTGGCCACACGAGGGATAGCCCATGTTGACACAGCTGCTGTCGGTGGTGATGCAGCCCGGAGAACTGGACTGGGAGTCGGCCGGAGAGCCCAGGTCATACAGCTGGAAGGGGACAGATACAACAGGAAGTTAGCTTGACTATATATATTAGTTCTGTCAAATACCAGAGAAAGTACAACATAAGAATGAAGAAGAGAGTAACAAAGGTACAGGGAAGCAACTGCATCCAGAACCAATAGTTAGAAATCAAATCTTTAAAACTACCAGGAAACCAAGGTGCAAAGCCGTGTGCAGAATAAAATATCAAATGACAAAATAACCTCACTCTTCACATAAGGCATGCCGTCTGTGCTGTCCACTCCGACGCAAAACGTTCCATGGAGGATGCCGTATACTGGTGGGACGTAAAAAAAATAATTCCGTCTTAGTGCCCTAAAAGGCAGCTCCAATCTCCTGTGTGCTATAGCCAAAGGTTTACGAGTTTGGTTAGATGCAAACTCCCATAAAAGCAGTTATCCAGGTAAGTTGTGAGTGGATGTGACCTGTATGAAAAGCCTTGTTATGGGCTGCTGACCTTTTCAAAGCAATACTTCTGGTGCTGCTGTGCATGTTGATGATCAAAAGTAAAGGAAAATAGGAGTGGTCGATGTAATGACAGGGAGGCGTCTGCGAGGGATTGATCCAGACCAGAATTTGTGTCATTACTGAGAACGCGGAGATAAAAAAGACGAGAGCTGGTTTCACAAATCAAAGAGGCGAAGCACGAATGCTACAGCCCCATGTTGAGGCGCGGCCGGCTGCTGCGAGTGTGAGATGTGTACAGGTACAAAAACACAATCTTTCATTTTAAGCCATTCTGTTCTTATTTGGATTTTCATATATATACACAGGCACAGTTGTGGGGTAGTGCACGTTTTTCAAAGCACAATAAACAAAAGGTGCGGGGATAAGGTCCACCACCTCCTCATCACCGTGGGAATTGTGTTTTTATTTTATTTTACAGCAATGCATATAATTAACCATGTGCAGAATCAAGAAAGAATTTTTTTCAAAAACAATACATTTAATATCGTTGCTCTCCTTGGCATAACCTCCACCAGAAATGTTGTAGAGAAATAGTTGGACCAATGACCAAGAGCCGTGTCTGTGAATCTGGGATTTAAATGAATAACATCCAATCAGAAAGCAGTGGGGGGGGCAAACAATAAAATCACTTTTTATTATATCCAAAGGGCTATATTACATATTAAGTAGTATATTAAGTCACCTCCAAGACTCTTCTTGACATAAAAATACATTATTGATGGTTATTCTGTCTATAGAGTTAAACCAGACTGTACTGTACTGTTTTTGAATAGATGGTGGCCTTTCTGAGAAACAAATCTATATTTTCATTAGAATTTAGTTTGGTTGTATTTCAGTTATATTACCAGTTTTACATTGCATTGTAGTTAATCTGAACTGCTTAATTTGTTCAAAAGCAGTAAAAAACCCAAACTTTTTTATTTTATAAAAAAAGAAAAAAAAGAAACATCTTTAATTCATTGTCCTGTTGTCGTCCAGGGATACAAGGACGATGCAGAGGGTGGATTTGAATCGACCCAGGCTGATTCTGCATCGGACACCCACAGATTTAGATTTTGGGATCGGTTTTGGGAAGTCAATTGAATACGGACAAGAAGGGAAAGTTAACTCAAATCAGAATGTAAATGTAAATGTGCACTTTATTGTTCACCTAGGGAAATTCATCTTCTGCATTTGACCCATCCTGATGCCACTAAGGCTTATGTCAGGAGCAGTGGTCGCCGTAGTAACAGCGCCCGGGAACCCATCTCCAGATGTTAATGCTCGGCTTGGTCAGGACTACCAGAGCTGGAGGATTTTACCTAGTGAGCATGTTTTTAGTGGTAGGGGAAACTGGAGCACCCAGAGGAAACCTACGCAGACACAGGGAGAACATGCAAACTCCACTCAGAAAGGCCCTGTTCCAACCGGGATTCGATCCCAGGACCTTCTTGCTGAGAGGCGAGAGTGCTATCCACTCAGCCCCTAGAATTAAAATTATTTTATTGGCATTTTAAGGAACAGGTGGTAGAAAATTAGGAATTTGCTTTTGGCTCAAGGAAACAATGCAAAAAATAATAATAATGCACTGTGTTTATTTATTAATGTTATCCTTGTGTGATTCTAATGTTTAAATGTTTTTGATTACCTTTTTGATTTTTTGATTTTAATTGTGTTTTTAATGGTGATTTTGGTGTTATGTGATGATTTGTGCCTTGTGTGATGTGGACTGTGAAGCACTTTGTGTTGCCCTGTGTATGAAAGGCACTCGACAAATAAGGATTGATTGAGTATGTAATCCATTATCTGTGTGGTCTATGCTATTTTTAATCTCTCTGTTAAAAGAATAAAAGTATAATTCTGTCCTCGTTAGCACTTCAAGAGCTCGAATAGACCCTGAAGAAATACACAGACAATTACTGCTCTCTTAATAAGTTTTATGAGCCTGCCCACCTTTTTTCTCTTGGGCTTGTTTGGAAAAGATCTGTAGCCCTTTTTTTCTTCTTCAAATTATCACAGGTGAAAAAAACCCCCAGATTAAACAGTTTTTTTTTCTTATAACATTTACACAATAACTAGTTACAATTGGAGCAAGCATTGACAGCCAAATGAGTAAACAGTAAACATATTTTAAAAAAACACCGTTGTAATAGGACTATGGTTATTTTAAAAGTTGTAGCGGGTGCAAGAAAGATGGAAACCCAACTTGAGTTCAAAGTTGGAGAATAACCATGAGTCCGGCTTGATTGACAGTTCTGTGGAGCCAAATCAGATGCCAGCCAAGAGAGATGGTGACGGGCAAGAACAGAGACGGGCGGCTCGGTTCGAAAATAGAAAAATAGAAAAGAAAAATACGAATACAAATTTCCTTGACATGACTTCATATCAATCGAAAATCCTCATATCCACAGGTTTAAGTCACGGCCATTGTTATTTTACCCCATTCAAAATACAGTATATAATATCCCCCATTTTGATTTGTTATCCTCCATAGCTTTTCATAACTGTGAAACTCATGAATAAGGAAAACATATAATTATGAATATGCACGATTGAGGCAACCCCCAAAAATTAATAGAATATTTTGTTTTTTTCTGTTTGTTATTGATTTACAAGATCTACGCTCCCACTCTTACGTAGGATCATGAGCGTCGAGTAAAATACAAGATATAAGCAGCCAAAATGAGATTCCTCTGCAGAGTGTGGGTGCTCCCGAAGATACAGGGTAAGGAGCTCATTCACACGGGAGGAGCTCACAATAGACCCGCTGTTCCTCCCAGTGGTGGCTCATGAATCTGTTTGAGGAGTGGTCCAATGCAGGCCAGGGGAAAGAGTCAGTGAAACAATGTAGGGATTCTCAGCTGATATTGTGTATGGCGTGCACACTACTTTGGCCTCCATGACACAGACCCATGAATCCAAGAAAAATGGGTACGCTGTGTATTTTGTAAATAATTGAAATGTTTACAGTGAAAAGATAAAATAAACAGCTATGGTGAGCTAAAATTTGCCTCCTCAGAGTTTGCCGTGTTATTCACAAAGACAGGTTATTGTTGTTGCTAATGGTGCTTTGTGACCTGTTGTAAAATAGTGCTCTGAGGAGGAATTAGGACCTGTCGCTTCTGTTGCTAAATAGTGAGCTGTGTCCAACTGTCGGCTTTCAATGCATTGTTATCATCTATCATTCGTCCGAGAGCTTGGATAGTACAACATGAACCTGCCCCTTTCAGTTTAAGTGGAGGTTAGAGTGGGGGATGGGGGGAAATGAGAAGAATAAGAAGTTCAAATGAAAACTTGATCACAACCGGTTCTACACACTGTGTTTTTGCACTACCCTCCTTAGTTCTTGCACTTCAGTTAATGCGCAGACCATATTAAATGTGACATTTGAGTGGAACAGTCTTATTTTCCTCCATATTTGTAATGCCTTTGAATCATAAGAGGGACATGAATCGCAGTATAGATCGCAGAATTCAATCACAAAACTTTTTGTATCGCAAAATGTATAGAATCACAATAACAACTGTGGCCAAAATATGGTCAATATTAACGAATTGTCCCATTTTTGCCAATTCCCATCCCTGGAGGCTTACTCCCTAACCAAGTTTACTTTATCTTCAAATGTATCTGGTGTGTGTTTGAAAATTCCTGTAATTAATCTAATTCAGACATGTTTTGCACTATAGCCCTTTTGCATGTTTACTTAGATTAATAAAATGTATGACTACCAAGTCCAAAAACCCATGCTACATGTATGGTCTTTGTGCAACACTGTGGCAGCGAACCACTCTCTCAGACTTTCTATGAGAAAAAAACACCAGCAAAGTTTGACCGGCTCAAAAGATGCTTCTCCCAGTTCACCAGCATTATTAACTATATCAGCAAGACTGTTGCTTGCTCTTTTATGATTTATTTGGGACATTTCGCCCACGATCTCACACAGACACTGCTCATTAGTACAATAAGAGGGTTGGGTATTCTTTAACGCCAGACGCCACCACATTAAATAGAAGATGCAAGTACAAACGCAGGAGGGGAAACCGTCTGGCTGGTTATAGCCTCTCCCCAGATCCTACATCTTAATAGAGTTTGAATGTCTCTGTGAGTGAATACAGATAAATTGTGTTTATGGATATAATAAGAGAGCCACTCCAGTCCTCACGTTTGTTCCTCCTACGCGCCCTGTGGTGCCTTTTATCGGACACGATCACAGTAAATAAAGTCCAGAAGAAGTTGCTTTGGGGATAAGTGGCACCAAACAGCACTATTAGGTTCACCCAAGTTTATCTCATGTAAAAGTAAAGTCTGTATCATGGTGATAAGAAAAAAGTTTTTACATTCCGTACATTGTTGAAGGCAATATTGTACATTTAAATTGCAGAGCAGGTTCTTTGTATTAGTAATTACAGGCTTCTAGATGTCAATTGCCCGGTAGCCTTCATGGAACATTGCAACGTTCCTAAGAGCCTCTACCTGTGGTGGATATAACAAAGATAAATAATGTCTAATCCTTTCTCTATTTCTGGACCAATTTCAATATAGAGTTCCACATTAGTTGTAAGTACATATTAACTATGGCCAATGCATTCAGACCTATTGTTTTTAGTGGTAGGGGAAACTGAAGCACCTGCAGGAAACCACACAGACATGCACACAGAAAGGCCTGGAGGTGGAATCAAAAACATTTTTCAACATTTTCTTTTTCCAACATTTTATGGCAAAGAATCAGATGCCAATACAACTCTTTCCCATAGAGTGTTACTGGCACCTGACCTCCAACTACTGAATGTGAAAGCAACCTATTAGACAGATCATCCAAGGCCAGTGCCCGATCACTCTGAATGTGAGATCACTTGACAGACTCTTGACCGACCCTGCACATGTCAGTCACCGATATGCAAAACTGGAGCATTACATGGTCAATGACAACCCTCATTAGTAGAAAATTAGACCTATTATTGTAATCGCCTGTAATCTTTAGTGCTTCCAATATTCATTATTCTTGACCTGTGAGACGCAGGAAGGAAACTCACCCAATGATGGACAGATAAAGAATATCTTCTAGAATTAAAAATAGCAGTCCAGGCACATTTCTTCAAGCCTATCTAAACATGACTTTATGAAATCGGCTTATTTCGACTTTAGCAAACACTCTGGGTGACATCGGTAATAGTCCACTCCAGATACAGAATCATTTTATTTGCCAATTGCACTAACACCACATTGGGGTGGGCGGCACGGTGGCTGAGTGGATAGCACTCTCGCCTCTCAGCCAGAAGGTCCTGGGTTTGAATCCCGGTCGGACCAGGGCCTTTCTGAGTGGAGTTTGCATGTTCTCCCCGTGTCTGCGTAGGTTTCCTCCGGGTACTCCGGTTTCCCCTACCACACAAAATATGTACAATAGGTCTGGCATGCGCCTCCTGTACTGGTGCCCCCGCTCCCATCTCTGTGTGGAGAGACAAATGCCCAAAAAAAAAATAACACTTGTAAACCGCTTTGAGACTCAGATCTGCAGTGAAAAGGCGGTATATAAATACTTACTTACTTACTATTAGAATATGCATAAACTCCTTCTATGCTTACATACTCAATAACTTTATGAACACCTCCATGAAGGAATGCCCCATGACAAAAGTTTGCCTTGGGTACGAGAATGGCTACAGTACGTCAGCCACTGCATTTATGGTTCCAGAGATCACTGATGTTATAGCTAAAAGCATAACAATTGTACTGTAAAAGTGAAGCCTGCTCCTAATCCATTTATCTGCATATGGGGGGCCTCTGTGCTAATGCAGCGCCGCTCTGTTAGCCTGGGCGTGCTCTCTTGTCTCGTGAATGACGCATTACAGAGTGCCATTACCTTGCTGTCTACGATGAGATTGCGTATGCAGCCAGTGAAGTGCTTGTGCTGGAGCTGGGGGTAGATGTAAGGGATGTCCTCGTTGACACCCCCGAGCTGAAGAACCTGGCTCATGTTCAGATGCCTGGAAGAGAATAATGGACATATATGAGAAAAATATATTTGCAATTTTTGTCTGTACATGCGTCAGATGAAGTTGATGGCCTATATCACGGCATATTTTTCATGCTCTTTGTGTACTATTTCTGATCATGGACATGCTTGAAGAATTTAGAAGAAAAAAACTTGTACAACTATCATTTATCATGAAAAGAATAACAAAGAACCTAAGCCTATGTGTTTTGGATGTAGCAAGGATAAAGAAAGAGAATTGAGTTTGGTTTGAAAGTGGCAAGGCTGGTGTGTTAAAGGAGACATACTATGCAAAATTACAATCGTGTTCCCACATCAGAAACGACCTTGTTGTTTGTAAATCCATCCATGTCATTTTCAGAGACTTCTGGGACAAAAAAACCACCCCTTCTATATACTGTATATCTTCTATCTATGCTCCTGTCTCAGTCCTAAATATTGACCATAAATTCGTTTTGGCAAGTAATCGGATTAATTTCATATGGCTGTGTTTGCAGCTGGTAATTGTCAAATTTAGAGCAATAAAAACAAAGCAAATTCTTCCTTCTGTTGGCAGCTTAGAGAGTTAAATGCAGAATGTATTGTTAAATTGATAATACAGATCAATCCGTACTCTTCATATTGTACGGATTGTACCACAAGACCTTCTCCACTGATGTCTGCTGTCGTTGTGTCCTTGGGCAAGACACTTTACCCCACTTTGCCTATAAGGAGCATGGAAGTAATTGTACGCTGCCTGCTTTGATGTGTATTCATCAAAATGAAATTTCCCCACAAATAAATGGACGAATAAAGGACTATCATCTACTTATTCTAATTTTTGACTTCAATTGTTATTTCACATTCTAAAACGTGTTTGACAAAGCAAATAGTCATTTGAAATGGCCAAAAACGATGCAGAAGTTACCCAGATGTGGACATTGCAAACAGCTCCAACAATATGCCGTTTGAAATGGCAGCCACCACATCATCCATAAAAGCCACTCCATCTGCTTTGAGAATCAGTATCTTGATTAAAGTGTTGCGACGTGACAAAAGTGGATCTAGTTTTGTTTATCAATGATCTCAGCAGTCGCACTGTTGGATGTTTTAGCTTATGCAAATGAAGCCTCTATTGACTAATTGTAACAGCGAGCTATGATGTTTACATGCAGCAGGCATTAGCATAACTCTCCTCCAGTCTAATCCCACAGCACTTGAGTACATTCAGATTGACTAACTAATGCAGGAAACCCACAGTCCAGGGTTTCAGATATTCAGTTACATTTAGACTTGGTCTCCTGTGCGGCCAAATGCAAATGCACTGGTGCTATGGAAGTAAACACTTCATTCAGTCGTCCATGACAGTAGGAGGGTCTGGTACAGCTGTTGGCAGAGTGAGTATGTATAGAGACGTGTAATTCTCTTTTCTATATAAGTTGTGGTCGGAAACTCTAGGACTGATGCCAGGGTTCACTACATCATTTTTAGATGCAATGTAATGATATAAAGCTGAGTGATAAAGTAATCTAACTAATTTGCAGCTTTTGTATCTAAATAAACTATATTAATTGCATATATATATATTTGACCTGACCTACATAAGCTTAATCAACACAATATTAGTATTAGTCCAAGTCCGGTCTGTTGGACTTGACTGGAAAACATAATTGCTGCAAAACTCATCCCAATTAAAAACGTTGCATGGTCCGAAATGCATTAAATTTAAATGTGTGAAAATATACAGCATGTTATTTTGTGTAATCAATCAATCTCAATCTTAAAGTCCCGGCTCTACTGTATATAAATCTCTCCTTTTTCCTGTCTGTGATGTCCATACATTTCAATAGGACTTATGTTTTACTTAGACTGTAAGAAAACAGTTTTTACAACACAAAACTTTGAAATGTAAAGATCAGCAACACAAGAGCAGAGAAACAAAGGAGAAGTGTGTGAACTGCAGACAGCGGAGATCGGCCGAAACACAGACTGTGACCTTTTTGATCTTTCAGTTTTTGGCACACTCTAAGAGTAGAGATTCTGGTCAACTTCTTGATGAATATATATATTTTAAGAGACATTAAGTCAGATACTCATTGTATGACTCACAAAAGCACCATCACAAAAATGTAACGTGTTTAGAGGCATTTTTGTTACTTTCGATGATGGTATGTACAGTGAGCGGTTTGTGCTTATTGTAGGGGTCCGTCTGAGAGGTTTGGGAACCCCTGTTCTACAGAACCACACCAGAGATCAACTATATCGTGGTCAACAGTGGCAAAGTACATTTGTAGAAAACAATTGTATTTATAAAGCACAACTTTATACACAATGGTAATACAAAAAAACAATGGGCCTCATTCACGAACGGTTCTTAGGAACAGATTTGTACGTAAATCCTACTTACGCGGTTTTTACGAAGAAAGTGGCATTCACGAATATTTCTCGTAACCAGAATTTCTCTTGGGCAAGTACAAATCCTACGAGTCCTCAGGAGCACTCGTACGCATTCAGTGCCGACATGTTCACACGCCGGGGTTGTCCTCTTTGGTGAAGTTGAATAAAAATACAACATTCCAGTGATATGTCCGTCATATCGATGTATGTATTTATTTATTTGTAGTAATCTTTATTAGTAATCTTTATTTATATACCGCCTTTTTCACTGCAGATCTGGCCTACTTTTTAATTCATTTTGAAATGAAATGTGCCAACGCTTTATCAAATACATTGGAAATCTTGCCGTGTATTAGTGACCCCTTCCTATTTATAGGGGGCATTTCTTTATCCACGGGCCACAGAACACCGGCATATATACTGCTGCTGCAGGAGGTTACTGGGTCCGCGCTGAGTCTCTGCGCTGGTCTCTCCCATGGATCTATACTGGTCTGCACTGGTCTCTCCCATATACGGCTCTGCACTGGTCTCTCTCCATACGGGTCCGTGCTGCATGCTCTCCATACGGGTCCGCGCTGGTCTCTCAAGTCTGGTCTATGCGGTCTATCTTCGGTCCGCGCTGGTCTCTGCGCACCGGTCTCTCCAGTCAGGTCACTCCAGTCAGGTCACTCCAGTCTATGCGGTCTCTCCTATAGGTCCGCGCTGGTTTCTGTGTGCTGGTCACTCCAGTCTCTCCTCGGGTCTGCATTGGTCTCAGCGCTGGTCCGCGCTGGATCTCCTCCCAGGGTCCAAAATATTTTGAGATTAATCTCAAAACATTTTGAGATTCATCTTTAAAATAATACATAATATATTTTTAAATTAAGCTCATAACATTTTGAGATTAATCTCATCATATTCTTAGATTAATCTCATAATTTTGCTAGTTCGACTTTATTATCATAATATTTCGACTTTTAAGTCAACATTTTATAACTTTATTCTCAGTCTGGTAAAAGAAGTGTAACTAGTTGCTTTAGGCCTGTTGCTGTTTCCTCTGCCGTCTGCACACGGCCCTGCAGTCCCTTATATGGGCATTAGTGGGCGGTTACTTATGCTAAGTACCTATGCTAATGAAGCACCTGGCACGCGCGCTGTACTTACGAGGAAATGGGATTCATCAATCTGAGAGAACAGCTGCGAACAATTCAGCGGCTTACGAGTGCGTTGATGAATCCCACGTAGGGATTTCTTAGAAATCTACTTAAGGACAACTTGAGAAGAAAGTTGAGTAGTTTCTTACGAAGTTATTCGTGAATGAGGCCCAATAATAATAATGCGTTGGTTACATAGCGCTTTTCAGGACACTCACAGACGCTTCACATGTCATGTGTCTTAGTGATAAATTACAACTGTAGCCACAGCTGCCCTGGGGCACACTGTCAGATGCGAGGCAACCAGTATGTGCCATTGGCCCCTCCGACCACCATCAACCATTCACACACACACCAGACTCATTCTAGACAATGTGGGAGAAGTGTCTTGCCAAGGACACAACAACAGTTTGGCACTTTACAGCCGCAGCTCAGCCGCCCCAGTGCGGCACCCGGTGCAGCACAACTTTACATACCAGATCCATGAAAATAAAAATACTACTGTAACTAAGAATAAGCGACAACAATTATATTATTATAATCCCTTCCACTACATCCATGACAATAAAAAAATTATCGTTTTCACTTTTTAAAAAAAAGTGTCCGTCACAAATAAATTTGGTGACTTGAACAATAACTGAAATGCCATTAACCTGTTTGTGTTGGGAGTCGTGCCGATAACTTCACAGGAGGAGTGGTCCTCAGTGGTCAGCCAGCTGCCCACTCCCTCCATCTCCATCACTGCAGCCCCTGCACAGCGGTCCAACGTGAAGCGCACTTCCTGGAAGAGGAGGACGAAAATAGCATGAATATACAATTGTGTTTTTCATGCACCTCCTGCAGAGTCCATCTCTCTATACTCACTATAGTGGACTTGAGTCGGTCTCTCTATACTCACTATAGTGGACTTGAGTCTAAGAATGGAAGGGTTTACATTAGCGGCCATTGCCTTGCATTAACACAGTACAAAGCATTTTTTGCTGTAGAATGATAAACATGTTTTTCTCCCACTAATGGTTAGTGGATTTACTGTAAAGGCAGTTATCTTTAGGAGCCATTCAACACGTGGGCTATGTACACTTTCCATCTGTATAGTTTCTGTTGGTAGTAATATCTACATTACATTCAGGTGAGGTATGGACAAGCAAATGTGAAACAACAGAAAAAAAAACACACCCAAAAAGCAATTTGTTTCTGTTATGTTCAAATCCGCTGAACCTGGTGATAGTGCTAAAGAGCTAATGTGCTATTAATGAATACACAGGCCTTGACAAAAGCAACACGAAGATGTGGGTTTCCATTGGTCTAAAAATAACGTATTCAGCTTTACATAACAAAAAGATTAAGAAGAGCAACAGTGAAGCGGTGACGTGGCAGTCCCTCCGGTGAAGGGCCATACACACTCTCTTCAGTCAAATGCAGATTAGCTTAATTTCACTATTTAATTTAACTTAATTTAATTCACTCCAAATGATCCAAGCTAGAGGGTGTCAGAGGAGGGCCATTGCAATCATCCGTCTCACTCTTGGCCAGATTAGACGCCTTTGGAGAGCAGCACCGTGCACAATTCCACAATAGTTAATCACTGCTACCTTCCGTGAGAGGAGCCGACTGACGAGGCAGGACGAGAATCATGCGCCATATTTATTATAGAAATGAGAGCAGCGATAAGAGCGGCCTGTGTTGTTTCATAAGGATTTGCTGGTTACAGACAAAACTAAAATATACAAAGAGGATATTTCTAGGTGTGGCAAAACATCACTGCGGCGTTTCAAAATGATTTGTAAAAAGCAAAATATAATGTCTTTCCACAATCTGTTATCAGTCTGAACAGGGCACTTTAAAAGATATTGCCTTTGTATTGAAAGTGTTTTAGTCGATCGATTTCACAGTGTCAATTGTTTACTGTTTTGTTTGTTTTATTTCTGTACTTTTAACCTTGTTTAATGTATCTACTTGTCTTGTGCACTGGGGACTTCGGTTTGCAGTAAAACCAATGTGGTTTTACTGCAAATGGCAAATAAATGAATCTGAATCTAAAAAGTTAGGAAAAGCTGGGGGAATTAAAGTAAAATGTTTAGAACAAATCAGACCACAACATGCTGTCTTCATCTAGAAAAGGTGATATATTGTGCTTACTTGTAAGAAAGAGCTGTGGGAGCCATGCTGGGAGCTGATTGGCTGAGTGAGGGTGGTCTAAGAATGCAGATCTAAAGATGTAAATATGAGGCCAACAGGCGCATACGTGTGAAAGCAAGTAATAAAACAAAAATACTTTAAGGACAGGGATTGTAAGATCATTTTATTTTACCCGGGAAATATTATTTATGAAATATTACGTGCCCTGCCTTCAATTCAATGAATATGGATAGCAAAATTTTGTTAATGTAGTAAACTGTCCTTGGACACTATTGTAAAATAATACATAGCAAAGGGAATAAACTCTCCATAGGTTTTGACATTTGAAATAATAGTTTCATGGCTTACATAGGTTAAGTTTCTCTTTTAGTTTTTACATTTTCTGCATTCCGGCCCTGTTGACCCCAACTCCACCAACTGCATAAAGCAAAATGCAATATGTTGTATTATTACTGCTGCAATAACATTTTTTCTTCATCTGACTGCTGGGTCTGCGGGAGGTATAGGGCTCCATTTATTGAAGGGCTTTTGCGTTCAGTAAAAGATTGTTTTATTGCAACATTGCTCATAAGATTTGGCCTCATGAACGAAAAAACACAGTTCACCAGTGAAGGCAGCGTTCATAATCATCGATAAAATCCAGGTTACATGTTCAGTTCACCCACCAGAGCTTTTGAAGTCCTCCAATATGCCGCAATGTATACTTACTAACCCAATTACCCGTGTGTGAGAGGCACCTGTACTCAGTAATACTGTAGCATGTAATTATCACCATCACTGACACTCAAATGAATGCATTAAAGCAGTCCATCGGAAAGATAGCGTCAGATGGAATTATAAAGGTATATGAAACAGCTCAACCAGAGTAAGCCCTGAGAGAGTCACTGCACACATTTCCAAGGTGAGTTTGGGAAATGTGAATGTTAAAATGTAAGAAATGTGTCCTGTCCCACCTTGCTGTTGCTGCGGACGTCCAACCGGTGCCAGCGCCTATCCGCCACGTTGACGTTGCCAGGTAACTGCAGCACCACAGTGCCCGAGCCATGGTTGATTTTCAGAGTAGGGGTCCCGTCTACAAGCTCTGGATGAGACAGAAATGAAGAAAAAGGTCAAATTTATGCATTCTTTAAATATATGTGTATATTTTAAACCACTCAAAGTAATTGGACACAGCCTGCCTCAAAACTGATTGATAGAAACACTAGTGACACACACAATGTCAGGCCTCTGATGATTTAGATAGTAGTTAAACACAAATATTATCAGTATAGTACGGCTTACCAAACCAACTTACTATTGTCTGTAAGTGTTCCTTCACATCCACAAGAAAAAACAATAAATCTGTGGGTTTTCCTGAAGACAATGTTTTATGGAGCATATTATTTGTCTGCTTTAACTGCATCCATGTCATGCCAGTAATATGATTTAATCTCACTTGAAGAGAGTGTAAGTCTAAGTTGGTTATATTTCCTCCTCCATTTTTATCTCAATTGACTTGTTTTTAGATTTCTGGCAGTCAACAAACATCAGAGGAATGTTATCACATTCTATTTTGTGACTTAGTCAAATGGGAAATTAAAAGTTAATGAAGTGGCAAAGAATGTTGGTGTGTTCAGCAGCGTATGTCAGGAATTATGGGATGGCGTGTCTCACAAACGGCATTGGCAATCCATCACAGTGCATGGTGCATTCCAAAAGTTCATGGAGACACATAAGAATGAGCATTAAGCTAATCTTAGACTTTTCTCTCTGCAACTCTAACTCATGTTCCATGGACTGTTCTTGTCCTTCATTATGAATATTTTCAATAAGGTGCCGGAGCTCAGGCGCGTTATATCTTACTGAGCAGTGGACGACTTCAATTGAATTTATATAGCTATTTAACACAGCTATTACATGTGCACATCAAAAGCATAGACTCACCTGAACATCTCATTAGAAATCCCATCTCTTTTTAAAAGCACTGCCATTCATATAAAATGTCCATGTCAGTATTTCTATACAGTCTTTTCATACTAAATTAATTCCCCAATTTGTCAAAAGGATTGTGACTTTGACTTTTCTGGTGGAGATTCTTCCGCCTTCATACCTCATGCCCACAAGTATCACCAAGCCTCTCGCCAAAGACAGTCCTCAACACAGCAGTGCCGCCCAAGTTCCAGAAAAAGCCTAGATGACAATATTGTTTTTATTGTCCAGCACTTTGTGACCCTGGTCTGTGAAAGGCGCTGTATTTGCAGGAGGCATGTTGGCAGAGTGGTTAGCACTTTTGCTTCTCTGCAACGATGGCGACCACTGCTCCTGACAGGTTGCTCTTGTAGAATTGAAGGATAGGTCAAATACAGATGCTATAATTCCCTTTAGGTGGAATGAAGTAGGGTTCTCAGCATCCCAAATGATTGCAAAATGTCTCAGTTGCGAAAACAAAGCTATGATTTTTATCAAATATATTGTGTCTGTGTCTAATAGAAACTACTAGAATACATTCAAATTATATACATTTTAATCCTTTTCTTTTCATTCTTTGATTCTTTCATTCTGGGTTGATCTTTCCTGCTGAAAAAGGCAGCCGGGGAAGTGAACTGCTAACTCCTTATCCGTGACATCTATGTTGGGAGTCAAACTTGCCTGATGAATCGTATTCTCCTTTCTTCCCCTCTGTGGTTATCTTGACGGGCATCATTTGAGTTGGGCTTTCGTCATCTCTTGCAGCGCTTCACTCAGACTGTCTGTCAATGCTCTTTGGTCTACTCTTACCTATAGCTGCAAGACGCTCTTTCATTAACTTCTCCATAGAAACCACCTCTTTTTTTTCTTACATATTCTACTTTCAAGAAATTGCCCCAATACTTTGTACTGACAACCCGCTGTGCTATTGTGCAGCCTTCCGGTTTCCATTAGACATATCTGTGACAAGTAATAAGAACTTAGAAGGCTTTAAACTTTGCATTGAAGTTTTATCAGACGAATATATGGCAGTTACTTCAACCTGAGCTGGGGTTTGCTGAGCATCGGAATCTCTGCTACTGCATTAGAACCAGACACAAGATCTGTTTTTCAGTATTTCTAAACCATTTATGAGCCAATTAGATGGAGTTGATATAGTCTGGTGAAAAATTAAATTGAGTGACACTTCATAAAAGATCCAATTATTTTGTATGAGATCTATCTATTGACAATTTGACTCAAAACACGGCACACAATAAATAAACAATTTGGTTTTAGACACCCATCCAGGCTGTGTTAGTATGCGCACATTCAAAAAGAAGGAGTGGGACACAAATTTCAAGCATATTGGTCAAGTCAAAGCAACAATCCTCTTTCTAAGACTTAAACTTAGTTCTTGCTTCTTCAATGTGCTAAAGTTGGAGATTTTAGACTTGCTTCTTCATTAGGCTAGAGTTAGAGACTTGATTTTATTTTAGTATATAGTGATGATGATACATTGGCTTTTGCTGTGCCCTCCTCATTCATAAAGTCCTGTACCTGGGAGGATCTCTTAATCTTAATCTATTCCTGAGAAATTTGGATTTTCTGTATATAATGTCTGTTTGCTTTAGTTTATTTGAGCACTTCCCATTTGATTTCCACTTCCACCACACCACTGTCCTGGGATTGGTCACACAAACTTTGGATTACTGTCTGTATGCACAATCTTACAGAGCCGCAAATGCTCCGGGAAGAGGTGCTGGTGAAGCCGATGCAGCGAGAACCGCGTAACACCATAAGGTCATAAACATGTGGTTAAAACATTCAGTGTTCTCACAGCAAAGAAACACAGTTGTTTCTCCTATTGCTTCGAGGTGACAGTCGCTGCAGTGATGTGTCCTCACTCCCACTCACCACCATCCTCAAGTGTTACACAACCTTTACTGCCGTGAATTTACTGCACAGAAAACTGTACAACACAGAAAGTGACTAAAGTGCTTTACAATAAAATCATAGATTAACAAAACAAATGATTGAAATGTTTCAAATATATTCAAGGTTCGCTAAAAACTTGGTGTTAGTGTAAATACTATAACCGTCACAGTATTAATTCGTATTCAAAGATTCCAAGTCTGCAAGAGTTCAGAGATTGGAGGGCCATCTACAGTCCGGCTAGAGTTACGGTCACACAACAACTCGGCCATAAAGAGCATTAAAACTAAACAGTACAATTTGGCCCGCCTAATTCTGCTTCCATTGCAAATGCAAACTGTGAAAGAGTGGGAAACTCTGGTGTGTGTAGATCTGAGTGCCTGTGCAGTAAACGGGGCTCCGGTTAGAGAGTGGGGCACGGAGACGGCTGGTACATCCAAATGGGAAAATGTATTGTGGATTTTGCAGCAGTTACAGGTGTGAATAGCGTGTGGGTGGATTATGGGTGGGGTGAGTTTGCGTGTGTCTGGAACAAGAACAAGTACTAGAATTTACATAAAGGTCACTCTGTCACACAAACGCTTGTTAATGAATGAAATTAGCCTTCTCACTTCTTGCACTCCGTTCCGCTCAACCCTGCTCTGACCACTCCAACTAAAATGAACAAAAATGAACCGAATCTGGTACAGCAGATTGCATCTCTGAGTAAGGGGGTCGAATCCCACTATTTAGATCGCTTCAAACAGAAAACGCAACAACAAGAATATTCTCATTTCAAAGAAAAATCAGTTTGTGAAGAATTTATATTGATCAGATAACTTCCATCTGGTGGTTGTATTGACTCACTTTGATATTCAGGCTCAGTGCGTTGTTAATTCCACCCCCCATGTCTATCAAATGGGCAGTCTTTCCCCCTAGTACTTACACAAAAAACTCACACAAACTCATTTTGAGAGAGAACAAGGGGCTCATCTCATACACAGAGGCTGGCTAAACACTCAAGCATAGATTTTTTGGGATTTTTGCATGACAAATGTGTAGTTTTTGTGCTCAGCTCTTGCCTCATTGAGCTTTGTAGAGGAGAAGATTGGCGCACAGGTAGTGTAATTTAAATGTACACTCTGTAAAGGGCTAAAGCTAACTACAGTGGACCCTCTAAAAACAGTAATTTAGGGGTATATTTATCAATCCAGGTGTAAAACTGCATATGCAGAGTGGAATTGTCCATGCATGCATCCGTTTAATCGTTTTGCCACACAAAACCTTTGATAAATAAACCCAATGGGGTACTTTTCAAAATCCAAAATCCTTATACTTGGTTGACCTGTTCAAGTCTTGGAAATAAAGCCTTCCCTCGTGATAAGGCGCTGGTTCTTCTATAGATCCATGCCCCAGAGGCAGTTTAAAGGTAGATTGACCTGCAAATAGTCAGTCATCATTCAGCAGCCTTCACTCAAAATGACATGACATTTTCACAGGCGAGAAGGGCTGTGGTTGTCGCAAAAGGAAGTCAGACACACGGAGGGATGAGGCAAGCAGATGGAAGCGAGGCAAGATGGAGAGAAGGGATAAAAGACAGAGTGAAGACAACAAGGGAAAAAATGTGGAAATGGAAAGTGCAAAGGCAAACAGGAACAAAGCTGGGCACAAGGCCAAGCTCAGAGTTTCTCAATGACAGCAGACATGACAGACTTTTAGAGGAATAATTGAAAAACGCACACGAATCAGCACACAGGGGAAGATGAACAAGCAAGAAATGTTAAGATGGATCAAGACCTGGAGCAGAACAAATGGCATCTGCAACAGGGATATGCAAAAATCTAAAAAGCTAATTTGTGATATTTTTATTATCATTTTTCCTCTATACATTTTATTTAAAAGAACGTGGAATCCTCATTTAATACCGTTATAGAGATTTATAACATTAGTTTTAAACGCACACACATTACCAAGCCTTATAGTTTCAGATCCCGTGTATACAAATGAATCATTGCTAAGAATAATGAAAGAAGGTGGTGTAAACTGTGATAAAACTACCTTCTTTCATTAATCTTAGCTATGGATCTTGTGCTTGCATGTGAGTCCTTATTAAAGTCTAAATAAAATAAATTATATGATACATCTTATGTATGATAGGGATGCAATGTAGAATGTAAATATGATCAACATTGAAGTTTGTAAAAAAGAAAAAGGGGAAAAGATGAGGCACTTGGGGATTTT